TGACATCAGAGGTGTTCTGTCCGACCCGGACTGACTGAGGTCTGTTGGTAGTTGTATGTGTGTGAGAGAAATGTAAATGTGAGTGTGTATGGATGTATGAAAGACCTCCCTCTTCATGTGATGAGAGGAAGGAGGGGGGGGGCAGCTTGTAATAAAAGATCCTCAACCACATGGCGACGGCGGTTGAATGTCAGCAAACTCTCTATAACTATCTTAAAGCAGGAAAGTGAATGTATTAACATCTGGCCTATTTTGGACCATCTCAGAAGCCAGTTAAACAGACTCTTAAGGTTTTATTCTTTTTGTTTTCTTTAAACTAGTCATTTAGTCTATCCCATGTTTATTTTCTAATAGCGTGTATTGTTTTGCATAGATGTTAGATTTCCTGAATTATTAGAATAAAGACGTCATTGTTTAACTTGTAGTGGTCTTGTGATCCATGTAATGGACGGTTTATCACTCAGGTCAGATCCACCCTCTTTTGGTAACAGTATGAATAAACAGAGATAAATAGTTCTTTGATTGATATTTAATAGCTCTGCTGATAACCTAGCCTAGGTCACCAAATTGGTGTGGATACCTGGATTTTAACAGCCGGTCCAGGAACCATCCAGAGGTGAAAGGCATAAACCCTGGTAAGTAAGCAAATTAAAGCTACAATTTTTCAACTAGGAACACTGAATTAATTTCACCTCCGATTTTGAACAATTTACTATAACTCCAGTTCTAGTTCATCATTTATTTATTATCTCCAGGATATCATTTTGCACAACACCCAGATTCTTCCAGATAAACTTTGGTTTCAAACAAACAAATCCATCTTAAACTATAATATGGTTTTAAACCATGTTCCCCTTCCTCTTTGTACATAGTAGTTTAGTTTAGTTGAGTTTCACTAGTTTTAATTAAGAGTTTACAACTGAAATATGACCTGGAGCTGAATGAGTTTTGTTAATAAACTCTTACATTTTGAACAGAAGTTGTGTTGAATTTATTCCATGTATGTGCAGAATTAACTGTTTGACCATGATTAGAGCTCGAATCACTCTTTCATTTATTGTTCTAACACACAGTTAGTAGGACTGTGTGTCATAAACAATATATAACAGTCTGAAGAATATCTGATTAAATAAGATATTTAACCTCCCCTAACAGGGAGGGCAATAAACATCTTAAAGTATCAGAGATATACATTTCCAGCTGGCTGGGAATTGAAAAGAATATAAAATCCAAACAGGTTGAATGTTGGTGGCAGACTGGAGACGATGTGTTCTTTAACCAGCCTTTGAAAGCACTTCATCATGATGGGAGTCAGTAGTTGCTGAGTGAGGTGACCTGAGGCTTCTTTGGGACCAGAATGACTTAGGCAGACTTAAAGCATGCTGGCATTATGGATCGGTCCAGCCAGGTGTTAAAAATGTCTGTAAGAACACCAGGAAGCTGCACACTCCTTCTACACGCACCCAGGTATGTTATTGTGGCCTGTGTCACAACCAATGACACTGCGTTATTAGAAATAGTAATACTGTGTGATTGTAGCTGATAAAGTGCCATTGTATTCTAACCCGTGGATATTTTACACGGTGAACGATGTATCACTCAGGCTGGATTCACTCTTCTGTCAGAAGCATCTGAATGAACAGAGACACATTTATTTGGTTGGTGATTAATAACTCTGCTGATAGTCATAGTCTAACTTACTAAATTGGTGAAAGGCAACGGAATTTTTGTCATGATTTTATTCAAAGATCTAACCCACATGCAGAAAACCAATCAGAGAGACCAGGGGAAGGTTTAACAGGTTTATTGAGAACTGGTAGTGATGGGTCCAGTGCTGCTCTGAACACCGGCAAACCGGGATTGAAAAGAGACAACATATTCTCATTATCAGTTCGTATGAAATCGTACGAAAAGTTATGCACAGTATTTCGTGGGTTTTTGACGTTTTTCCTCGGAAAAACATATCAGTGCGCATGTGCAGCCAGCCAGACGAAAAAAGCAGATCAGCGGATGGACGTAAAACTGGGACGGACGAGCTTTCGACAGTGCAATGATTACTTCATGATGTCTCTCACTAGGTTGCTTGCTGTTTTGTATGTTAGGGTTAATTGTATGTTAAATTGTATGTTATTGAATGGTGCGTAAGATGCACATGCGCACTGATATCTTGTCTCGAGGCAAGACGTAAAAATACGACGAAATACGACGAAAAAAACGTCAAGAACCTACAAAATACTGTGCATAACTTTTGGTACGATTTCATACGAACTGATAATGAGAATACACTGAAAGAGAAGGGGGAAGTTCCTGTGGTTAGTTCAGGCTCAGTGGGAAATTTGAGCTTCGATTTGCAAGAGGGAGTATAGGCAACAGGACTCACATTTCCAGAAAAAGGGTGTCATTCATTGAATCCAGTCGGTACGGGTTGTTCCAGAAATTGGTTTGCTCGTTGGAGGGCAGACAGGGTTTACCCAGTTTAAGTTGTTTCCTTGAGGAACGGAGGAGCTGACTGCCACTTAGATTTCCTTTGGTACTTAAACTGATCTTGTGGAGATGAATCACCTGCTCAGTGTGAAACTCAAACAATCCTTTGGGGAAAAGTAGATCCAAACCTCCAGTTTGACTCCCCAGCTCAGTTTGAAACTCAGACGATGCTTCCAGGGGAAGAAGGTCCAAAACATCCAGTTTGCAGGATGACTTCCCAAAACTGACAAACACTCTGGCAAACACTCAGATAATGAGGCAAACATCAGCAGGTGTGTGAGAGGACCAACAAGAACCAGGCGCCACCTGGTGGTGGAGGTAAAACAAACAAAAACACAACCCACACAGACTGGATTCCTAACAGTTTTTTGCAGCCGGATTTAGGAGTCCAAACTTTTATGTAAGAGGCTAAGAACCCTGTTCAGTAAGCACATTACAGTTATAATCATTCAACAGATACCGGTAATAATTAATTAGTTATACCCTTGATTCCAATGACCTGTTAATTAACTATGACTTTCAGTTATAGTTAATTCTAGTATTCTAGTATTTAATTCACAATCTTCTGGTAAACTTGCACAACAAAATGCTTTAACGCTTATATTCAAAAAAGGATGAATATGAAGAAAAAATGGCCTAATCTATGACATAAGCTGGATCTGGATGATGTTATGTGCTTGTTTGTTTTTTCTAAAGCACTCATAAAACTTAACTACTTCCATGGCTATTTCTACTGAAGCCTGTGAGAAGAGTTTATAAAAGGAGAGCAGAGATGACTAAAGGACTCTGGTCAGTCCACAGGACCCAGTCGAGAGCCAGGGGCGGATTTAGGAAATGTGGGGCCCTAGGCAAAGACAGGCAGAGGGCCTTCTGAAATGTTAATAGAATAGACATCCATTATTTGTTCTAGGTTTTGACCCTCGCTGTTTTGAAATCAAAGTGCTAGAGGGGTCTGAAAAGTTGCTAAATATAGCAACTAAAGCGCTAAGTTGGTTACACTGCTCTTTGCATCGTTTGTTTTCAAATGGTTTGCCGCTGTCTGTTTGGACTGACCTGTAGTCAGAAACATGATTAATGTGCACAAATAAGGAATAGTTGTATTAAGCATACATGTAAACAGAGTTTTATGGGGCCCCCAGGAACTTGGGGCCCTAGGCAGCTGCATAGTATTGCCTAATGGTAAATCCCCCCCCCCCCCCCTTCCCAGAGGAAAGGTCAAAGATCGCTCTCTCTCTTTTGTCCCACCATTTGTTTTTGAAAAGACTTCTTAAATATCCTTAAAAGGCATAATCTTGTATTTAATGTTCTGGTTAAGCAAGATTAAAATGCAACAGAAACTAAAAATGGAGGAAAACTAAAGAAAAGTGAGACTTAATTGATTGATAATAGATCACATCCAAAATGTGATCAATTATCTGGTTTCATAACTTATGACATTTGAAATATAATCAACTTTTATTCAGATGATCTGAATATTTTTAAAGTTACTCTTCATTTTTTACATCCTTATGTGTGATTTTAGTTCTGTGATGTTTGTTAGTTGTTGTTAATTGTTGAAAGGTGGATTGCAGATCAATGTTCCTGCTGGTTTGTCCTGCAGGAAGGATCCCACGCGGATGTGTCGTCTTCATCAGTAAAACCTCCTCCTTTTCGTGGAGGTGGGATAGTCCTGAAGGTAGCCTCGGTCGCTCTGACGTAGGATGGATGCTCTATGAGCCAGTCAGGCTGACTCAGTGGCATATTAACCTGTTATTGACGGGCTCAGCCTATCAATAGACATGAATCAGATAGTCTTAGTCATTCCACCTCGGCTGGTTTTTGTGTCACACACTGAAGGCTGCATATTTTAACAGTCTCGTTTGGTTTTTTCGCTGGTAGGATGTGATTATAGCCGCTGAAGGATTCCTCTCCTCTTATTGCGCAGGATGATGCTGCAGCTCCGCTACGGCTCCACACTCCAACCCAACTTGAAACGGCTCCCCTTACGCTGCTGCATTCAGGCCCTGCGACTGAAAATCTCAGACTCTTACTTTCTATAATCAATTAAGACACTGAAAGCTAACTCACATCCGCACAGCTCTACGTCGAAGCACTTTTTAAAATAGAATAAACCACAGATGTGCCTTTGCACGAAAAATGCTCAGATATCTGCAAACGTTATAAAAAAACAACAAACGACTATAAGGTTACTATGTACATGTTTTAATGAATAAATAAAGGTTTATTTTTCATGTCACGATAATTCCAAAAGAGCCGAATAAAATCACTTAAAAAGGGAACGTGAATTTCTGACCTATTTTTCTTTAGAAGCCGTGAACGCGGCACTCACCGTCGGTGAGTGACAGTCCAGGTAACCAATCAGCGGCCGCCGTCCTCCAGCGGCCGTCAATGAAACAAGCGCGGGGGCGGGGCCGCGGCCGGCGGAGCGGCTGGCTCCGCCCACCGCGGCACCGCCTGCTCTCACCCCATTGGCGCAGGTGATCAGGCTCGGGATGCGGGAGGAGAGCGGAGGAGAGGGGAAGAGAGGGGAGACCGCGGATGGTGAAGGGTTCACGGGGAAGCTAGGATACCGGCCGGTCTCTGCTGGGCGATGACTGACTCACCGAACGGAGCACTTTGAGATAATATGAGGCTTTTTTCTGGTCGGTTATAGTACTATGATTTGGTATGTGGCCACTTTGATAGCAAGTGTATTCAGCATCCGAGGAGCGGCCGCTCAAGGTGAGTCGAAGTGCAGGATGCGGATCCACCGGCGTCCTGCGCTCAACTTTAAACTCAGCATTTTCCTCCCCCTTTATCTCACCCTTTACCCGCCTGCTTCTTTCTTAACTTCTTTTTTTTTTTTTGCTGCTGAACCTGTCCTGAAGTTCAGGTGTTCATCACCTGGATCCGATCCGGGGAGCAGAACCGGTTCGGTTTGGTTTAAGAAGCGATCAGCGGCACGCGCAGAAAGCTGGTCATTATAGCGCTGCTGGTTTGGTTGATTTATTGTTCTGCTGGAGATGTGAGGTGTGTGTGTGTGAAGCAAATATCCTGCTGTGTAATTATGATTATATTTCAGTCCTCAGATGTTTAATTTAGTCTTTGTTTGAGCCCCGGGAGGTTTTGCCTGGAGGTTGTGGGCTGCAGCATCAGGTTGAGCAGTGAGGAGGAGCGGGGCTCTCCTCCCCGGTGCGCCGGTCGGTAAAACGCTGAGTGGTTTAACCTCTTCCTGTAATGAGGCGGTCCTTGTTCCGTCCGCCAGAGGGCGCCAGATCACGGAGCGCGCTGCTGTCGCTCCTGTAAATTGTAATGGCTGCACGTGACGCTGAGCAGCTTTGACAGCCGCGCGGGGTTTGCCCTGATGCCTTCACAGGTGAGAAACCCACCTGCAGCTCACCGTGTTCTGCTTTGGGTGGAGGGGAACAGGGAACCTCCAGCCTTCTGCTTCCATGGACATCAGTAGGAAAGGAGAAATACCGGGATGTCACTGTTGTTCAGGGCAGGGGGGATTCACCATTAGGCAATGCCTAGGCAGGTGTCAAGGGCCCCAAGTTGCTGGAGGCCCCATAAAACTCTGTTTCCATGTATGGTTAATACAACTATTCCTTATTTGTGCACATTAATTATGATTTTGAGCAAAATCCTTTCACTAAAACACCATCAGAACGCTGATAATATTAAGTGTGTCTCAGCCCCCCCCCTTCAGTGTCCACCATATTGGATCAGTCCATTTGCTGCACATGTTCAGAAAGGTCCAAACAGGCAGCAGCAAACCATCTGAAAACAAACCATGCAAACAGCAGTGTTGCCAACTTAGCGCTTTAGTCGCTATATTTAGCCACTTTTCCGACCCCTCTAGCACTTTGATTTCTAAAAAGCTCCTAGCGCCAAATCTAGAGACTTTTTTCTGCTACTGGAGACTTTGGAGACAACATCTAAAAGCAGCGAACTCTGCTCTCCAGAGCGAGTAGATTGGTAACCCCGCCTCCTGCTCTCCTCTATCTTGTCTGCTGTCATGATTCATGCAGCTATTATTTCATCCAAATGAAAAATGGAGAACAGAGAAGCAGATCATGGCTTGTCTTGTCAGATCTTGACTGGTCCTTGGCTGGTCATTGGCTGGTCATTGGCTGGTCCTTGGCTGGTCCTTGGTTGGTCCTTGGTTGGTCCTTTTCTGGTCCTTGGTTGGTCCTTGGTTGGTCCTTTTCTGGTCCTTGGTTGGTCCTTTTCTGGTCCTTGGTTGGTCCTTTTCTGGTCATTGGCTGGTCCTTGGCTGGTCCTGGGCTGGTCCTTGGTTGGTCCTTCGTTGGTCATTGGCTGGTCATTGGCTGGTCCTTGGCTGGTCCTGGGCTGGTCCTTGGTTGGTCCTTCGTTGGTCATTGGCTGGTCATTGGCTGGTCCTTGGCTGGTCCTTGGCTGGTCCTGGGCTGGTCCTTGGTTGGTCCTTCGTTGGTCATTGGCTGGTCATTGGCTGGTCCTTGGCTGGTCCTTGGTTGGTCCTTTTCTGGTCCTTTTCTGGTCCTTGGTTGGTCCTTTTCTGGTCCTTGGTTGGTCATTGGCTGATCCTTGGCTGGTCTTTCGATGGTTTTTGGCTAGTCCTTTTTAAACATCAATCTTTGTACTAAAATATTCTTTCTGTCATGATTTGTGGACGTTTAGATCTAAAGAAAACCCCCATCTCCTGGTCAGACCCTGTAATTCAGTAAAAGTGTGGAGTCAGAGTAAACAAATATGCACGGCCAGGAGAAGGCTTAGTGGCTGGAAGTTGGAGGGCATTTTGCTGCCGTTCAGCTGGCGTTTGAGTGGGAGGGGCCATTTTGAATGGCTGTTACTGTAAATGCGACCAAACATCGTGTTTAGTTAAATTATAATTATAACTGCTTATCATTTATTGTTAATTCATCTCTTATTAGATTAAAAGTTGTTTCATCTGATCAACCGATAGAGACCAATTAGAAAACATTTTTTGTTTTGGTGTTTGTGTTGTTACCTTGGCAACCATGTTAGTATGAGGCTCAACGTTTTATTGCGATCTGAGCTCTGATTGGATGATGGAGGATCGACTAAAAGATCCTGAAGAAACCAGATAGACAAACTTTTTCAAAGTGTCCTCAAACCTCCTGTCCTTCCAGAGCGATGGAGAAACATCTGTTCTTTCCCATCGTTCATGGATCAGGGTGGGGGATCCTCACAGGTTTGCCATCCTGACCTGATCCAGCAGCATGTTTGAAGCAGGGAGACCTGTTCTGTCTCTGCATTCGCTCCTTGTTCTGCTCTTCATTAAAGTCTTCAGCATTCATGGAGGCCAGCTGCTCTGTGAAGCCGGCAGCTGACTCTCAGCTTGTCTCTTAACCCCCCCGTCCGAGCCGCCGTCCGCACACTCTGGAACAGGACCGGAGTGGCCTCTCTCAGCGTGGGCGGGCCACTCAGGGAAGCAGCGTGTTCATGGAGGCTCAGGGTTCGCTCCACAGAGAGCTTCACAGGCACACATTTCCACATTGAGCCATCCCCTCAGGGATCAACGTGTCTTTAACCAGATCTGAACATATGCCCGCCAACAGGCTCGATGCCCCAGACTTAGTTGCACTAATTATGACTAAGCTGTGTGATAAATGCCGCACAGACACTGGATAAATACATACGGTACAGCGTGCCGGGAGGGCAGGCGAGTGGGATGCTGGATGTCAGACAAATGTCAAAGTCTCTAACTTTAGTCAGCGCTGCCATCAGAATCAGATGATTGAAAGGTTCATAAAGCATCTATCTGACCAGAGGGAGACATTCTGCGCCTCTTCTTCACTCTAGCCTCTCTTTTAGAGATTGACTGATGCAGCTTTTTTAAGGCCAATGTTGATACCGATTATTTTCACAACAGTCTAACCAAGGGCGGATTTAGGAAATGTGGGGCCCTAGGCTAAGACAGGCAGGGGGCCCTCTGAACTGAGAAGACAACACATAGAACAGCCCCATTCTACAGATGGAGAAATGTTAATAGAATGGACATCCATTATCTGTTCTAGGTTTTGTCCCTCTCTTCTTGTCCCTTCTCTTCTTCTTTTCCATTATACAGATTTCTATATCTGTATAATGGGTGTTTTATGTGTTGTCTTCTCAGTTCAGAGGGCCCCCTATCTGTCTTTGCCTAGGGCCCCAAATTTCCTAAATCCGCCCCTTATTGGAGCCATTGGTTTTGAATGGGACGTTGTTTTTATTCTGAACTGTTAAGCCTGGTTTATAGTCAGAAACCAGGTCGTCGGCGTCTGCGTCGCAGTGAACGCTCGTCTTTGCCCCCCCGCAGACACACTGCTGCACCTCTCCAAATCGTAGCTGACCGCAGAGAGAAGGCCTCTGATTGGTCAAATCTACAGCCACTCTACTCTATGCATGTTTCCTGTTTGGTTCCTTAGCGGCTTGTGTTGTTTGTCTGACCGCCATTGTGGAAAACGACTGTTGAAGATGGACCAGTTAGAAGAGCGAGAACGCAGGGACCATTTTTCCAGCTGGATCTCCGTTCTTTTTGGCCCTCATTTCCCTCCGTTGTCGCACAAACTTGACTCCACTTCCTGACCGCCTCGGCCGTATGTAGACCCACAGCTAGTTCCTGATTGGCCCTCTGGCGTTGTGGCGTGGAATAACATAGCGCAGACCACGCTTCAATATTGGGCAGAAATCAAAACTATCTGCGACAAACTCACTGCGACACACTGCTGAGGGAGGAGAACCAGTCCAGTCTGACCCTTGAGCCGCATTTTGAAGCTACTAAGTGGCGTTTGTGACGTGTTCCCGGCTCCTGAGTGATAGCGTTTGTATTTATGGTCACACTGAGTGTAGAAATAGAGCTGGCTCATGCAGCCATGCTGCCTAATTAATTTGATTCCCACAACTTTACTTGTGTTGAAGCTTTTTGATGATTCCTACAGTCTGATGACTTAATGAGCAGCTGGTTTTAAGTGGGTGGCTGTTGGCAGCAGAAAGCTGCTGACCAGCAGCCTCTCATTTAAAGTCCTGTAAACGTTTTCCCATACGAGCAGTTTGGCGTATTTTAGCGTTTCCTAAAGAAAGCCTCATTGTGACATTTCTATTGATCGGACGCCTGCAATGAAAGACTAAACTATTTAACCACCTCAGCTGTGCACATCTGCTTTTATTTTTTTTATACATTCTCTATTGTCAGGCATTTCCTCAGCCTATTTACAACCCAAGTACAAATACTTGGTTATTTATATTTTATTAATTATTTTTTAGAAAACTTTTTACTTCTACTCCTTTGAGTTTAAAACAGACTCGTTAGTTTTAATCATTTAAGTTTTGTTCATTAAAGCCTGTTGGTATTTAAAAAAATAAAAACCATCAAAATAATTAGTTTTATCCAGGCAATTAATTTCTCTGTGGTGTCCTGCCCCAACTTGTTGCTCACCACAGACCAAAATAAATCGGTTTTCAAGATGATGCAAAGTTAAGTGTGACACTGTTACCATTAGTTAAATAAAATGAATTCTAAGGAAGTTATCATCCAGAATTATAGAAAAATGTTTATTTAATATGGTAGAGCAGTAAAGCTTCTGTCATTAACTTTTTTTTGCTGCATTACTTTTAATTTTATACTTTAAGTAGTTTTAAAAATTGTCCTTTTACACTTTTACTGGAGTAAAAAGCTGAAGTTAATCCTCTAACTTCTACAAAAGTGTTTTTAAACAGGAGGATTTGAAGTCGTAGGGAAGCGGCCGTTCCAACCGTTG